GACCACTACGGCTACTGTCATGTTAAGAATCTGCAATGATTGCTTAGATCTTCAAATTTTTATTGTTAAACATAAACTTTCACGTTTATGGGTAGTGATATATAGAGATAGAGAGAGCTGCGAAAATTGGACAGAGATAGAGCAGCTTTCCGTTATTAGCTTAATTAATAACGGCCAGGCGGGCGGCGTCATTTGATACAAAACGAATCTTCCATCTCCAGTTTTCTGGATAAAGCAGTGTATCCTACATTGCATCATCATCATCCATACGGAGACTAACGGAGAGTACTTTTGTTAAACGTCAAATCGCTTCTGATAACCCTGAGGTTCGGAGGGTCAATCCGCCTTCATATATGGCATAAACCCAGATAACCTGACCTCCCGCTACAAACGCTAGCTGACAGCCATTACCACTCACTTAATTAAATCCGTTTTAAAATTAAAGTCACTTTTAAATTTTCAATTTCATCCGTCTTAATTCATATTACTCCGTACTTGATTGAATTTATAATATTTAGCTAAAAAATTTCTATTCATTTTGTTTGACAAGTGGTGTTGAAGGTAGGAAAAATAAAATTTATATACACTAACTTTATTCTTGAAGATTTGTCTAGTTTTAATTTTTTCAGCTAACCACTTTTCAAATTTTGACTTATAATTAAATCATACACACACACACACACTGAATATTGAATTGGCTTGTGAATAATTGGCTTTTGAATACAAAAATCTAACCCTCTTTATATAGAAAGAAGATAAAGTAAACAAAGCAATTTCTATTAAACAAACTAGGAAAAGATACTAAATACTAAACTTAATCCAACTAGGAAAGATACTAAACCTAATCTCAAAGAGATTTGGTTTCCTTCTTCAATCCCACTTTCTTCTTCTTCTGTCTCTAACATTTTCCTTCTTCAGTCCCGCTTCCTTCTTCAATCTATAACACATACATACATACATACATACATACATACATATATATATAGACACACACATATATATACATACATTGTATTTGTATATTAATAGTAAAGAATAATATTTTAAAAATGTTTAATATATAATAAATATAATAAAAAAATTGTACCAATATCTAGTACTCCCTCCATCCCAAAAGTTCCTTTCTCTTTCTTTTTTTCTTGTCCCACAATTTTTTTTCATTTCTATTCAAAAATCATTTTTGTCCCTACTAATTTAAAACCTATCTATCACATCATACATTTTTACTAATAATTTACACATTACATCAATGGTGTTTTTGGAAAGTAACACAAAAATATTCTTCTTTTAAATTTTGTAAAAGTCAAAATGAGAACAGTAACACATAACTTAAAATGAGAAGGAAGAATTATATAATTTTTTTTAAGAATATTTAAGATAAAAAAAGTGTAACTATAATTTATTAACAGCAAACACATACTAGATGCTACCCCTCCGTCTCAAACTTATGGTCTTAGTTTAATTTTTGTGATATCTTTAATAACAGATTAAATATAATTTTACATAGATAAATGTCATAAAAATTGATATCAAACGACATCTTAAAAAAAATTAATTTTATTACATTTTCGTTATGATTAAATACTAGTATAATTTTTAAATAATGTGGTTAAAGTTAGAAAAACATGAACTAGGACAATTATGTTAGGACGGAGTGTGTACAATATTTTCTACTCCCTCCGTCCCTGAAAGAGTTTCTATTATTGATTTTTAGAAAATTAAGAGAGAGATATTTTGGTGTTGTATAATGCATCCGATAATGTCACTAAACAAAATGCATGCGATAATGTCACTAAACAAGGACAACACAAGCTACAATAATGCCAGATATCATAATGCATATGGATAAATATGACACTAGAATTAAAATGTCAAATATATAAATATATATATAATTCAAAACATAGTAAAATTCTAAGAAACAATGTGGGTTGCCAACATGACTTAAGTTTTAGTGCTATTTAGTGCAAATATTTCTAATACGTTCACATCGGAAAGAATTTGTACCCAAGTACTTTTTAAAAATAATTTTTTAATGCTAAAATTTTAGAACTAAATTTTTAAACATGTACTACCTCCGTCCCATTTTAAATTGCCTGTTTGCCTTTTTTGTCCGTCCCAAAATAAGTTGCCTGTTAGTTGTTTTCGCAAACTTTTAAAAATAAAATACCTAAACTACCTCTAAAATAAGTTAATTTTCTCCACATTATATTCTCATTCATCATCATCCCTCTTAAAAAGTATTGACAATTTCGAAAAATTAACTCTATTTTTAATTTTTCTTAAATATGCCCAAAAGTCAAAACGAGAGATTTAAAACGGGACAGAGGGAGTACTTGTTATTCCATGTTAAATGGGCGAAGTAGTGGTCAAAACAAAAATGTTAAACGGAGTACATACACATCACATACTCCGCATCCTTTTTCTCTAGCTGGAAGTAAACAGACGGAAATGATTTTTATTCCGATCCCTTAGATGAAAATGGACGAACCGATTCCTTTTTTAATTTAATACGGAGTAGTAATTTATGTTCTATTTTAGAAATTAAAATATGTCACTTTTAATCTGAGTATATATGTTTTAGTCCTACTAAAATATGTTTTTTTTAAAATGAATCAAAAAAATGGGATTTTGCCACATTTTAGTCTCTTTTGTTAATCAATAAAAATGGGATTTTGAATCGGAAAAAAAGGTATTTTACCTCGACAAACTAGTGAGAGGTTAAATTATGTTATAATTATAGTCTAGTTTTTTCAAATTTTTTTCCTGTGGCCGTGTGAAAAAAGAATTATCACATTGGATAAATAGTTACAATGCCCCATCCAAAAAATTAATTTTAAAATTTCAAACTTAACACTCCTTTTTGTGACTATCCAAGATAGCCTACCTTACACGCAAAAGTTTTAATTACTCCCTTTGTCTCAAAAGTAGTACTCGTGTATCATATAACACGCAAAACCAAACAAAAATTTATAGAAATTAAAAAATTAAAATATACATATTTACAAATTATGTCAAAAAATTTTAAAAAGTATTTTTGTAATCAAATAATTAATGAAAATAAAAAACAAACAAAAGCTCCCGTAATTTTTAAATAGTGATGTGGGTCATTCTTTTTGGATGGAGAAAGTAGTTTTTTTTCAATGATGAGTGAAGGAGGATTGTCAAATAACTGATTCAACCAAAACCATAAAATTGTGGTTGTGATTCAGAAAATGTGTTTTATATTTTAACATGTTTCATTACATGTAGGTGTCGTCTTTTCGAACCTTGCACGTGAAACCTTAACTTTTTAAAACTGGGTGACGCTTAATTTTGAAATGTGCCTTTTTAGTTAACAAGACTCTGATACTATGTCAAAAAACTGATTCATCCAAAAGTTAAAACATATGGTTGTGGTCTAGGAAAAAAGTTTTTTATACTCCCTCCGTTCCACAAAACTTTTCTGTTTTTTGTTTTTAAAGGTCCCACAAAAAATTTCTGGTTTTGATTTTTAAAAGATTTAAGGAAAGTGTATTTTGTTGTTGACTTCCAAAAATACCCTTAGATGTTATAGATAAAGTAGGATATGATGTATAGATTTATAGTGACAAAATTGATGTGATATACTCCCTCCGTCCCGAAAAACATGGGAGTTTTGATTTTGAAGAGGGATTTAAGGGGAGTGTATTTTGGTATTGAATTTCCAAAAATGTCCTTTTGATGTGATGAGTAAAAGTATGATTTGATAGATAGATTATTAGTAAAAAGATATGATGTGATAGGTAGGGTATGAAAAAGTAAGGGGTAAAAGTGACTTTTTAATAGAAATGAGAAGTGTTTTTTGGAACGGATGAAAAAAGAAAGGAGAAAGGTTTTCAGGGACGGAGGGAGTATAAGTTAAGAACTAGTAAGAATAGAAGTGATTTTTTAATAAAATGAGAATGGGGCTAACAAAAAAAGAAAAAGAAAAAAATTTCATGGGATAGAGCGAGTATATTCTAATGAAATATTTAATATTTACACTAAATAGCACTAAAACTTAAGTCATTTCCCTAAATAACACTTAATAATGTCCATAATGTCCAGTGATGACGAATATTTACTTGAATAATGACTAATGTATAATGACTAAAAGTGCTATATTAAGAAAAAACATGTGTGATATTATTTAGGAAAAACCATTATGTTTCGGTGCTATTTAAGTAAATTCCCCATATTCTAATAGGGATTATATTATGGCCTTGTATGTGTTTGGGAGAGGAGGCTTTGGGGTGTATGAAAGTTTTTTTTCTTCTTAATAATCGTTGATTGACACTGGAACTGACATGGGGGATAAAAGGTAAAGGAATAATACTGTAAATGAATGCGTATCGGATCTTCCCTGGCCATCCCCCAGTGTCAGCCAGGCTATATCCCTACAGGGCCAGGTGGCTGCTGCATGCACACTAGCTTCGGAATTACTTTTGCCATAGTTAGTTGCTTTTCTAGCCTTCTTCGCGGAAGTTAATTATCACCCGTTTTTATATCTAGTCTTAAGGGCTAGTTAGTCTTTTTGCCAGCTTGTGTTACTTATATACTTCCTCCGTCTTATTTCTTTCTTCCCGTTGCACAAAATGAAGAAAAATTTCAAGTTTGTTCAATCTATTTTATTTAAATATTGGTATATAAATAAGAATAAAACATACATATTTAAAAACTGCATCAAAAATTCAACAAAACAAGTGGTGACAAGAATATTTTATTTTATCATATAGGCCATGAAAAAACACATAAATATAAATTCCCGTGAAGTTGGAATAGTACTCTGGGAAGAAAGTTTTAAGACAGAGGGAGTATATATATATATATATATATATATATATATATATATATATATATATATATATATATATATATATATATATATATATATATATATATATATATATCATTGAAGATGTGAATGAAGATGAAGTACTTTCCCAATCCACGCCATCTCTTAAACAGAATGCCCCACTGCCCATTACTATCCCAGATGACAGCCTGGCCGGCTGGCCTTGATCCCCTACTCCAATGGTCCAGGGGTCCCAACGCTTGCACCACGCCTCCTCAGTAAAGATGACTATTGGGTCTGCAAACCTTCCTCTGCCTCCACGATGTGCATGGACTTTGGGAAGCTTGAGAAAGAAGATGGCTTCTTTTCTTTGTACTGCCATTCCGAAGGCAATGAAGGGGATATGCCTTTCGATGGTTCTGAGCTTCTTCCCTTACAGGTGGATATTTCCTCTTGCAGTACCACCCCCATGCCTTTCAAAAAATACCTCAAACACTCCAAAGAAACTACTCCTCATGCCATGGAGACAAGGAGCAAAAGTGCTAAAAAAGTATCCTCTTTGGTTTCCAAATGCAGCTGATTTTTTGGAACATCTGTGGGGTGCCCTCTTCCCTTGACAGACTTCTTTCCCTTAAGAGGATTCACACCCCTTCTTTCTTTTGTATTTTTGAACTAAAAATTTCAGCTTCACACATTTCTTCCTACGGACTTAATTTGGGTTACAGCAACCATCTCTCTTCGGCTAATAACAAGAGATGGATATTTTGGGACTCTAACCTGCTTCATTTGATTAGCTTCGACGACGAATAGCAAGCTACTCACTGCACATTCTCCATGGTAAACAAATCCAACTCCACAATTATCATCTCTTCAGTCTATGGGGCTCACACGGTGATTGAGAGAAGGCAGCTTTGGGAGAGCTTACAGGGGAGGAGCAACACTAATCAAAATTGGGTGGTGGGAGGCGACTTTAATGCTATTTCTTCCCCTTCAGAATACAAAGGTCAGTGCAAATCAAATGCACTTGGAATGGAAGAGTTCAACTCGTGCATTGAAGCTTGCAATCTGTTCTGCCCAGACCCTTCCGGTGGTCTCTTTACATGGTCTGGCACAAGAAGCCGTGGGAGAACATGGCGTAGGTTGGATAGAGTGTTGGTTAATCTAGCTTTTCAATCATTCTTTCCTCATTTTTATACTCACCATTTACCCAAAGCTTGTAGTGACCACAAAGCTATTCTCTTCACTTGCCATTCTAGCCGTGACAGTGGCCCTTCTTCATTCCGATTCCTGAATGCCTGGATTTACCATGACCAGTTCCTCCAGGTGGTTAAGGATTGTTGGACTAAGACTCCCTACTCTGGTGGCATGCGTGGACTTGTGGCAAAACTCAAAAAACTTAAGGAATGTCTCAAGGAGTGGAACAAGAAGGAATTTGGCAATATCTTTGAAAATCTAACTAAGGCGGAGGAGTTTGCAACCCAAACCCAGTTGTGCTTTGAGGAAGATCCTACCGATGCCAAGTGCGAAATAGCCGAGAAGGCAAACGCCAAACTTCTTCTCGCTACTCACAAAGAGGTGGCATATTGGAAGCAAAAAGCTAATGCGAGATGGCTTGAATTTGGGGACTCAAACTCCAAGGTCTTCCATGCCTTTGCTAATGGGAAGAGAAGGAAGCTTGCCATTAATCATATTATTTCGGACACTGGTGTTGGGCTCTCCATTCAATCAGAGATCTGCTTGGAAGCTGCTTCCCACTTCTCCAAGCAGTTTCAGGCCCTTTCCCCCTCCAACCCTATCCACCCCCTCTCCTAAATCCCTAGTATCATCACAGACAGTGATAACTTGCAGCTCAGTAGGATTCCTTCCTTGGAGTAAGTTCAGCAGGCAGTTTGGGAGCTGGACAGTGGCAGCGCCTCAGGACCGGATGGCTTCAATGGTGTTTTCTTCCGTACTTGTTGGGAAATTATTAAAGAGGAAATGCTCAAAGCCTCTCAATAATTTTTCTTGGGATTTCCCATTCCACGAGCCTACGGTAGTACTCTCATTTCCCTTATCCCCAAGAAGGATAGTCCCAAATGCTTTGATGATTTCAGGCCCATCTCCCTTAGCACGTTCATGAGCAAGGTTAACACCAAAATCCTCTTCAACAGGCTCAAACCCTTGCTGCCCAAGCTAATCTCCTCAAATCAAGCAGCTTTTCAACAAGGAAAAAGCATGGCTGACCACATCCTTTTAGCGCAAGAGGCAGCTCATAACTTGGACAGGAAAACTTTCGGAGGAAACATGATAATTAAGATTGATATCGCCAAAGCATTTGATATATCTTGAGGCAGTTCTGAAGGAGTTTGGCTTCTCCAGACACGTCATTGGTCTTCTCGTGGCAAACCTTAAAGGCACCATGCTCTCAGTTCTTATTAACGGGCAGCCCACCGGTTACTTTCCTATGTCTAGGGGTGTCAAGCAAGGTGACCCACTATCTCCTCTTCTTTTCATTATTGCAGGGGAAGGTCTTTCAAGAACGCTCAACAAAAGTTTGGAGGAAGACCACATCCATCCCTTTAATTTGGGTAGGATTAAGATGCCGGGCCATCTTACCTGCGCGGATGATATTATGATCTTCACCAGAGGGGATACTATCAACCTTTTGAAGCTTAGGAAAATTCTTGGAGATTACTCTTTGGATTCGGGGCAGGTCATCAACTTCACAAAGAGTAGCTTCTTCGTCAAATCTTCTACCCCCGTTTCTCAATTGACAAACATGAGCAAGACCCTTGCTATGGAAGGAGGTTCTCTTCCTTTTCGCTACCTTGGTGCAACAATCTGCAAGGGTATTCTTAGGAAGCCGCAATGTGATCATCTTCTTGCACATTTTGACAAGCACCTACTCTCATGGTATAGCAAGACTTTGAACCCAATGGGAAGGCTTATTTTAATTAAACATGTACTATCCTCGATCCCCTTACATGTTCTAGCGGTTCACACCATCCCGACGTCGATAATCAATTCTCTTCATGCCCGGATGGCCAACTTCTTTTGGGGTTCTAGGAATGGTGCAAGGCTTCATCATTGGAAAAGATGGACGTCTCTCTGCTGTCCTACTTCTTCAGGTGGTTTGGGCATTAATGACTTGCGGCAGATGCAACTTCTTCACTCAATAAACTTATGGTGGCGGGTTAACCATGATAACGGTGTGTGGGCTTCTGTCATGAGGGGCATTTATATGAAGAAAGGCAACATTAAGGAGAAGCTGACGGTCATCCCCAACGTGGAAGAGGATCTGTAGGGTTCATGAGTTGGCGCTAAACCATTACAGCAGAAGCCCGAACCTTCCTCTTTGGGACGGGAAACTCTACTCCTCTAAGATAGTACTTAGCTCTATTGGAGATGGTCTCCCTTCAAGACTCTCTTGCAAATATATTTGGAATTCAGCTCAAACCCCCAAGCTCAGAATTTTTCAATGGAAAGCATTCTTTGGCTATCTTCCCTTTCCAGAACTGGCTGCTAGGTTTTCGGCCAGTCTTCCTAGTAGGTGCCCCCTTTGCAAATCCTCTGATGATGCCTTGGATCATACCCTTGCTTCTTGTCCCCTCAGCTTGCAAGTTTGGAGTTATTTTGCAGCCCTCATAGATGCACCTAAACCGTCCTCAGAACTACGACTAAATCAAATTTTCCTCACCTGGTGGTTCAGCGCTGAGTCCTCTTCTCTTAAGGGTATTCTAAGATTAGTCCTGCCAGGAGTTATCTCGTGGCATCTTTGGAAAGCAAGAAATCAAGCCATTTATGACGGATCCACCCCGAGTAAAGATACGATCATTCAAAGATGCTTTTATCATGTACAAGCATGGAGTTGGGCCTCACGACGTAAGAGGTGGCTGGTTAAAGATAGAAGCTTCTCCGATTGGGGGCTAGATCTTTTCTGGATTAATGGTAGTAGATTGTTGCATGTAGTTTGACTTTCTTCTTGGTTTTGTACTTGGTCTTTCTTCATTAATAAAAGAACTCTTCATTAATATATATATATATATATATATATATATATATATATATATGCATGCATTCTTTGGATTGGATGCATGAACCCAAATGTTTGTATGAACAAATTAAAAATGCCACTACTCCCTAGCTATGTGACTGTGTGGATTTAATGTACACCGTTTTTCAGTTCCTCCAGTACATTTTGTACGTGAATGTTCGGACTGTCACTATTAGTGTCATATGGAAAATTAAATTTGTACTACTTCCATTTTATAAAAGGAGAATTTACTTAAGTAGCACTAAAATATAATAATTTTCTTTGAATGTATCGTATGTGTTTTTTTTCCAATGTAGCACTTTTAGTCATTATTCATTAATCATTATTTAAGTAAATGTTGAGCATTATTTCTCCTTAAGTCATTATTAAATACTCCCTCCGTCCCAAAAAGATTTACACATTTCAAAAAAATTGTGTCCCACAATCTCTTACCCATTTCTATTAAAAAACCAATTTTACCCCTTACTTTTTCAAACTCTATCTATCACATCATACCTTTTTCCTAATAATCTACACATCACATCCTACTTTTACACATCACATCAAGGGTATTTTTGGAAAGTCAACACAAAATTATCCCTCCCTTAATTTCAACTTTAGTCAAAATAGGTAACACTTTATGAATATTATTTAGAGGAATTTACTTAAATAGCACTAAAACATAATGACTTTCCCTAAATAACACCATATGTGTTTTTCTTCCCAATGTAGTACTTTTAGTCATTATGCATTAGTCATTATTCAAGTAAATATTTGTCATCACTGGACATTATTAAGTGCTATTTAGAGAATAAAACAATTTAAGTGCTATTTACGGAAATGACTTAAGTTTTAGTGCTATTTATTGCAAATATTTCTATTATTTAAGGAATAAAACAGTTTAAGTGCTATTTAAGGAAATGATTTAAATTTTAGTGCTATTTAGTACAAATATTTCTTTATAAAATTCTTTATCATTTAATTTGACTCTCACAATGTTTAAAAATTTTGGAAAAATACTTAAAGACACTCCTTCCTCCCATTACAATCTTTTTTCTTTTCATATATCCGCCCCAAAAAATCTTTCCACTTTTTATTAAAAAACACTTTTTTCTTACTATTTTAATTTTAACTTATCACATTATTATATCTATTCAATAAAAATCTATTCATAAAATTCTATTTTTGCAAATCACATGAAAAATGTTGAAAAATCAACACAAAAGATTGAAAAAAAAAATTTATAGTCCTTAGGTCCATACTCATTTTATATACATTTACAAGTAATTAAAATAATTTAATGTACTGAACGTTATAAAAATAACAATATCCAACTATGAATTCACATTTAATTGTAATTTATGTACTTAAAATAAAAATATTGTGAACGAGTAATGCTAGAGTCACAAACTAAACAATCACAAAATTCACAATTTTGCCAATTATGTAAATTAAAGGTGTCAAATAATGGTTTCGAATAATCAAAAAATAAATACTTAAATGCACAAAAGGTAAGATTGTGAATTTTGTGAGTTTTTTATTTGTGACTTTAGCATTATCCATTGTGAACATCTATATTTAAAACAAAAATACTCGCTACAAAAAACAGCTAGTATGTGGACTATGATTTTTTTTTCTCCATTAAGATAGCCACTTGATGAGGTGATAGCAGCCGACGCCATGGATTATATTGATTCTTTCCATATCCATAAAAAAAATTAAATACTCCGTACTTTAATACTGTAAGTATATCTATCTGATCATTATAACATTGCGTCAGCAACAACTGTAGGGTATGTATGGGTATCTCTTCAACCTCAAAAACCTGCCCCTCATACTGATTGTGTGTACTTATATATATATATATATATATATATATATATATATATATATATATATATATATGTCACCTCCTCCGGTGCCTTCATGTCCTTTAATTTTTCCCATGCAAATTTAAATTTATATTACTCACTCCGTCTCATAAAACTTTTAAATGATTAAATAAAACTTTTAAATGATTAAATGAGTAATTTTGGTATTAGTTTCTAATTTTGATATTATTGTATAATACTCCCTCCAGGGGCGGAGCTAGGTTGGTGCAAGTGGTTGCAATTGCAATCATTCCAATTTTATGTTTAATGTATATATACAGTAATTAACTTCTATTTTCCATTAAATCCACAAGGATTTGCAATCCCAATTTTCTCTAGGTAGGCCACCGGAGAGGAGAGAGGGGTCCAGTGGAGAACGTGTCCTCGGCGCAACTCCGGCAGTGGTATTTTTCGGCGAAGAGCCACTGGGCAACGAAAATTCTTACTACTTCCGTTTCTGTAAAGAGTTTTTCTTTTGACTTTGGAGGAAAATAAGAAAGTGTTAAATTATAGTTGACTTTCCAATTTTGCCTTTGATGTGATAGGTAAAAGTAAGATGTGATAGTTTAGTTGTTAGTGAAAAAGTATGATGTGATATGTAGGGTATGAAAAGTAGAGGTAAAAGTGGTTTTTTAATAGAAAGGAGAAGTGTTTTAAGAAAAACAAAAAAAATGAAAGATGAAGGGTTTTAAGAAACGGAGGGAGTATTAGTTGCAGCAGCAAACTTCTCTAGATCTGTTTTCTTTTTCTTTTTTCTTAATTAAAAAACCTCAATTGGTCAAAAAAATTCGTCTAAATCTAGCTAGTCCAAGGCCCTCCGCCACGCTCCGCCCACACTACTCCCTCCAACGTGCTGCTGGCCATTTTTTTGGTTATTTGATAATTTGATTTTTTTTCTTAATTGGTGTATTTAAAAAATGTTTGTTTTTGTTTTGTATTAAACGAACATGAATATTATTTTCAAAATACTTCTTTATGTAAAATATATACTCGGTACTATACAATATTTATTTAATTTTGAGTTAAACATTCAAAATGGTTGACTATAAAAAATCAAATTGGAAGAATACTCAAAGAATGTTGCACCCACAAACATTGGAACCTGGCTCCACCCCTGACTCCCTCCGTAT